TTGCAGAGACAGTACTGGCAATATTTAGAGTTCACAAATTGTGAGTTAGGCCCCCAAAATAAAAAACTGGTTATTTTGGTTCCTTTTATGTACCTTCTGGTTTGAGAGATATTGAAGTCTACTTGGGTCACATTTTCAATCTTTTTCCTGCAAGTGGACGTATTAGAAACTAATTGTATTGTTTTAGTGTATTCTAAGGTTCCTATGTATTCATATGCCTCCAGGAACTAAAGCATTGAGAGAGACCAAATATTGTGAGACTTGCAATAAAATTGAGATTTGTCAATATTGTTAACATCCAAGGTAACTAATGAGGAAAACATATTGCAAGTTTTATGTGCCTATATCTTTCCATTTGTAGGGCTTCTAATTCTTGCACTCAGAAATCTACCGGTGGCATTGTAACATAATGTATTGCTTAATTAAAATTTTACCAGTAAAGTAGAAATTCTAAAGAAATCTAATGAAATTTAACTTGAAGATCATGATAGCAAAGCCTACTGTATTCCCAGAGACTTTCTGCTCCTGTCTCAGAAATGTAATTCTTATTTTTAATTTTTAAAAAGTGACAAGTCACTGCTGTTCTCCAAAAGAGTTCTGAGTGGTTGATAGTCTGCTTTTAGGTCACAAAAAGGATCCTTCCCTGTCCTCTGAAGGGAATTTTATCTGTAATCAAGTAACATGAATATTAAGTTATAATGAAGGATATGCTTTTAAAAATAGCTAAATAACTAAGAGGCTCCCTGCTGACCAATGGATTTTGGCTCTTGTGGAGAAGTTACCTGTGGAGAATCACTGCCTTGATAAACTTTAAATATTTTCATTAACACTCCTGGCAGGAGATGGACTATGCTGCTGTCCTGAGAGAATCTCTTAATGATCTCTCTGGAATGTATGAAATCTTTGTCCTGCTTACAAGAAGTACAGAAAAATGCATAGAATATTCCATTTTCATTAGACGAGTCCCTTCATTGTGCCTTTAATTTTAATGTTGATGGTGTTCTTGTTTCTATTTCCTTCAAATCTTGGGCATTTTGAAAGGGTATTTCCAAATTTTTCAAAATAAAACCTGGGGTTAATAAAAATGTTTAATAAAAATCTATGATCTCTCTGGAGTGTATGAAATCTTTGTCCTGCTTACAAGAAGTACAGAAAAATGCATAGAATATTCCATTTTCATTAGACGAGTCCCTTCATTGTGCCTTTAATTTTAATGTTGATGGTGTTCTTGTTTTTATTTCCTTCAAATCTTGGGCATTTTGAAAGGTTATTTCCAAATTTTCCAAAATAAAACCTGGGGTTAATAAAAATGTTTAATAAAAATCTAAAAGGGAAAAAAGAAGAGAAAATCAGATGAAGATAGTAATTAAGTCCATAGATGTGGTCCTGCGATGTTTTCAGCTTAAATATTGGAGTCTTGCACATGAGTATGAGAACCTTCAAGAATCTGACTACTTGTCATGTAGGTTTATATTTGGTTTGAAAGGTGGAATGTATAATGTGCCCTCGGTAGTGCTTGTGTCAGTGTCACACTGTGAACTGCCACTTGCATCATATCCAAAATTGAAATAGATTCCACATCCACAATATGTGCAAACTCTAGTGATTTTGAAAAGAAAATCTAAAAATCACTCATTAAGTTGCATGTGGCTGCAGCGAGAATTGTGATGGGGCATGAAGTGATCTAGAGGGAGATGTATTTTCTATGCAGACAGGCAACTGTAAACCTTACCCATTTCCCAGTGGTTCAGGGTTATTCTGGCTAGGTTTATACTAGACCCAGAAGGTTGGCTTAAGGTACGCAACTCCTGCTATGCAGGGGTGGCCCGTCCATATAGCTGAACTAGGCAGTCACCTAGGGTGCCAAGTTAAGTGGGGCGCCAAATGGTGGCATAATATCATTGAGAGGTTTGGAGGTGGGGGCACCGATTGCATGGTTTGCCTAGGGTGCCGGTTGCTGGCAGCTAGTCTAGGGCTGCCCCTGCTGCTACATAAATAACATAGCTAGAGTCAACATACCTTAACCCAAGCTTAGCACAGACTTCACATAGAGAAGTTGATGGGAGCAAATACTCCTGTCAGCTTCCCTTCCTCCTTGTGAATTGAGGAGTATTGGTGCGGACTGGGGGAACCCTCAGAGTTTGATTTAGCGCAGTCGTTCCCAAACTTTTTGGCATCACGCCCCTTTTGATTTTTGAGACACCCTCATGCCCTCCTTCCAAAAAAATAGCAGCAAAACTTGGGGTGGGATTGACGGGGGTGGGGGTGTGGCTGGGTTGCCTTGCATCCCCCCAGTTTGAATCCCCCCAATTTCTTCACCCCCCCCAGTTTGGGAACCCGAATTTCTTCACGCCCCCCAGTTTGGGAACCCATGATTTAGCGGGTCTTTACTAGATCTGCTAAATTTTAGTCCTGAGTGGAGCGCAGGATCAGGTCCCGGAGATAACCATTACAGGACCGCTTGGGAATAGTGACCATAATATAATAACATTTAACATTCCTGTGGTGGGAAGAACACCTCAGCAGTCCAGCATTCTGGGATTTAATTTCAAAAAGGGGAATTACATAAAAATGAGGAGGTTAGTTAAACAGAAATTAAAAGGCACAGTGACTAGACCCAAATCCCTCCAAGCTGCATGGAAACTTTTTAAAGACACCATAATAGAGGCTCAACTTAAATGTATACACCAAATTTAAAAACATAGTAAGAAAACTAAAAAAGAGTCATCGTGGCTTAACCACCATGTAAAAGAAACAGTGAGAGACAAAAAGAAATCTTTCAAGAAGTGGAAGTCCAGTCCTAGTGAGATAAATAGAAAGGAACATAAACACTGTAAAATCAAGTGTAAAAATATAATAAGAAAAGCAAAAAAAGATTTTGAGGAACAGCTAGCCAAAAACTTAAAAAGAAATAGCAAAATGTTTTTTAAGTACATTAGAAGCAGGAAGCCTGCTAAAAAAACAGTGGGTCCCCTAGACGATCGAGATATAAAAGGAGCAATCAAGGATGATAAAGCCATTGTGGAGAAACTAAATGATTTCTTTGCTTCAGTCTTCATGGCTGAGGATGTTAGGGAGATTCCCAAATCTGCACCGTCCTTTGTGGGTGATGAATCTGCGGAGCTGTCCTGGATTGAAGTGTCATTAGAGGAGGTTTTGGAACAAATAAAAAAGCTTAACGTTAACAAATCACCAGGACCGCATGGCATTCATCCAAGGGTTCTAAAAGAACTCAAATAGGAAATTGCAGAACTATTATCTGTGATTTGTAACCTATCCTTTAAATCGGCTTCCGTACCTAATGATTGGAAGATAGCTAACGTGACACCAATATTTAAAAAGGGCTCTAGAGGCGATCCTGGCAATTACAGACCGGTGAGTCTAACTTCAGTACCGGGCAAATTAGTCGAAACAATAGTAAAGAATAAAATTGTCAGGCATGTAGAAGAACATAATTAGTTGGACTAAAGTCAACATGGTTTCTGTAAAGGGAAATCATGTCTTACTAATCTATTAGGGTACGTCTGCACTGCATCCCTAGTTCTGACTAGGATGCAAATGGAGATGACCAAAGTAGTTAATGAAGCGGGGATTTAAATATCCCGTGCTTCAATAACATGATCTAGCCGGCGCGCTAGTTCGAATCACAGCTGATTCAAACCAGGAAGTGCGCTCCGGGATGTGTTAGTTCGGACTAAAACCCTTAGTCCGAACTAACGTTACTCCTCATTTTTTGATGAGACAAGGGAGATCCAGTAGATATAGTATACTGTACTTAGATTTTCAGAAAGCCTTTGACAAGGTCCCTCACCAAAGGCTATTATGTAAATTACATTGTCATGGGATAAGATAGTTCCCTAAATAGAAGAACTAGTGGACACAAAATGAAATCAATGGGTAGCAGGTTTAAAACTAATAAAAGAAAGTTCTTCACACAGCGCGTAGTCAACCTGTGGAACTCCTTGCCAGAGGAGGCTATAAAGGCTAGGTCTATAAGGGTATGTCTAAACTACATGGCTCCGTCGACCGAGACATGTAG